TATTTATTCTGACCACATATTTAATTTTAAATAATTTCTTTTACACCAAAATAATTTAGGGGGGTTTTAAAATATTTTAGGGGGGCTCCAGCCCCCCTAAAATAGGCCTAGTGACGCCACTGTTAGTGGACAAAGATCCATACAAACTTACATTTCCAATAATACATTTTATTCCATTAAAGTTGTCCTCCCCCAGCCCACCCCCCATGTTGTACAGTGGAATGTGAAGACTCCTTTAATTATTTTGCTTAAAAAAACAAAACAAAAAGTCATTTCTGACCCCACGTCCACATATTCATTGAAACTTGGAGAAAACAAAAAGAAAATAATGTTTTAGAGTAATGATGCTCTGGGACGCTGTAAGTAAAGGATGACTGTGTGGATGTTTACTGAAGACCCCCAGCTGACCGACTCCCACCCTGCTGAAGCTCTTTTATTTTCTACCTTTACCATTTAGACTGAAATGAAGTCGAGTCAAAGAGGGGAGTGGTTTAATGGTGTTCCCCAACAACACAAAAACAAAACATAAAACTTGAACAGATGATTTTACTGGTGGGTTTGTCCTGCAGCTGAATCCCTGACAAATCCTGCACTTCACTCACCTTCAACATGCAGACGATTAATTATTCATTCATTAAAAAGCAAAGAACCAGAGAAAACTGCTTTGAAAACAAAGATCCAGAACAGACAGACACGTTTTGTTTTCTGACTGAAGAAAAAGATAATAAAAGCCTAAGTGAAGACACACAGCTCTACAGTTAGACATGACAGAACAAAGATCTACCTGTGCTGGTTCTGCTGCAGACCCAGGTCTCAGGTCCTGCTCCTCTCTACCTGCTGCAGGGCTTTAGTGATGGTCCCTCCTTCACCCCCGCAGTCATCCTCTACTTTCTGCAGTGGAGCTGTCATTTCTCTACATCTGTTTGATTCATGTTCAAATTACATCTTTTATACATATATGTATATATCTGATCCTCTGATACAAACATAAATACACCACCGCTGCTCTTCTCCACCAGGGGAGGAGGCTTGGCCAGAGGCACACAGTCCTGACCATGGACAGTCGAAAATAGTAAACAGGGGCAGCGGCAGGCAGAAATCTTCAATCTTCTCCGTAGCATAGATTTGGGCGTTGTGTGATTTTTCTTTTTTCTTTTTGTGATTTTTCAATTTCTACTCAATGACGTATTTGTCGACGACAAAGGAGGTTTCTGTAGAGAATTTAACGGGGCTGTCACCGTCTACGTGAGTCACTTTGGTCACCTGGAAGACAGAAAGGAAAGGTCATTACCTCCTCTGGGTTCACAAGCTGAACAACGGTTATAGAGTTTAATATTTATACTCTTATTTTAAACAGCTGTGGGTTGTTTCTTTTAGCACAAAGTCTACATGTCACAGTGTCACAACAGTGTAATCTGATCAGCTCTTTGAAGTCACATCACAGATTTGTGCAAATCTGTTTCTCTTAAAGGGATAATCTGGTCATTTGCAGCGATCAGTAGTTAGATTATTAGTCGTGACATCAGTTGATATGATACAGACACGTCTACATGACACAGGGGTGGGCGATGGTTAGAATATACTGGATGCATTCTGAGTTTTTAATGTATGATGGTTAATCTGTGAGCCATCATATCGAAATGAGGATTAAGTCAAATTAGGTCAAAATGACCTAATTACATTTTCAGATTCTTGTCTTTAAAA